CTTCACCGTAATAATAGAAAGGTTTTTCTGTGTTTGTTACGGTAAAGTTCTGGCAACCACAGCTGCCAAAACAACAACCCAACATTAGAAACACTGTACATCTGTTGAGGTTCACATCAGGACACAGAGACTGAAAACAGAATCTTTCTCATTCATGATTAACAGGTTGTGTTAAAACTCCTGAATCCTGAACTCAGATCTTTTTACTGACTCCCAGAATCAGAGAAGTCTCGTCTGTTCTCAGTAAACACGTCTCTGTGGATGTGGAGGAACTCGCTGTTGCTGCGTTACTATGAGACTGTTTTGAAGCCGTGGGACTGTGCATTGTCTCGGGACTGTCAGAACAATTCGCACTACGCTTTATGAGGCGCTGCCACCGATCTATTTAAAGCTGCTCGTCATGATGGAGGAGAAGGGAGCTCCTCTATAGGCCAGTGTGTTAACCATCAGATTCCTGTCTCTCCTAATGGAGTTTGGAGTTTAACTCAATTTAAAGTTGCACAGAAAATGCTTTGAAGCTTGCAACAACTATTTATCCTCGGCTGGAGTTATATTTCGGGCATGTTCAGCTTGTGCTCTTATTTTGAATGTTTGTCTGTCTGTACTTTGTTTGCACATATTTCTGTCTCTGTTCGAGCTGTGTGCCTGTTTTCTGTCTTCATATTGTATTTAATTGTACACTGAAAGCAACTTAAAGGTCCAATGTGTATGTGAAGCTGCAGATCGCAACTCCCTCGCTTCACCCTCCCAGTCTGAGCCAGGGCTGCTTCCTCTCTTTCAGAGGCTGCAGCAGGCTCAGTTTTAAAGCTAATGGTCTGAGATATTAAGTCACTGTACCAACCACATCATGCTAGCATATCAGTAAGGGGGCTAAATAACGCCCGAAAATGATGGAAAAACTGTCAGGCCATTATTTTAAAGGGATCCCTTGACCTCTGACCTCAAGATATCTGAATGAAAATGGGTTCTGTGGGTATTCACAAGTCTCTCCTTTACAGACAGACCCTATAAAAGTGTTATTATCGCCGAGTGTATTGGAATATTTCTGCATGTGCAGTGCATCGTCGTGGTACATCATTCGTCCCGTAACATTATCCCCAGCTCCAAAAGACCGCACACACTCACAGACATTATGCTTTTACTAAGGAAAATACTTTATTCATTTGAAAGCAAAGAGACAGAAAGCCTCAGTCAAGGAAGAGCAACATGGACATGAAATCTGATTTGGTAAAAAGGCTCTCCACTGGCTGCTAGTTTCAGTCTCAACCTGAGGAGGATTCTCCAAATTCAAAGATATGTTTATCTTGTTGTTTCCTGTATGGAAGCACATTTCCGCCAATGTGGTGAAAAAAAAGATGTATAGAAACATTGGCGGAAGTGAGCTTCCATAGTTAATGTTGTTTTGGTTCCTTAGAGCACAGAGTATCATCAATGCATCCTAACAACATACAGACTGAACAATACATCTTTGATGACTCAGACACTGATTCTATAAAGCTTAAATATGAGACCTCAATAAACTAATCTTGTTTTCTATCCTCTAAACAAGACTTGGATCTATTTCTGTTGACAGTTTGATTCAAAATACAATTTCTTAAGTTTCTTGGCTGAATAAAAATACAGTGAGGTGTTTCTATTTACAACATGGATGTACAGAAAGTGAGTGGAACACATTAAAGATCAACGTTTGAATAAAGCTCAGACATTTAAAACATCTGGACTGTTGGGACAAAGCCTGGATTGGTTTATGAACTGCAGATCCCACACACATTTAGACTTGCTTATTTATTCACAACTTATATTTACAAAAATAGATTTTTTTTTTCAATTCTGAAAAGAAGGTTTTTTTGGCAAATGCTGATACAGATAGAGACAGTGAACGAGTTTAAAGGATCAACGGTTAGTGAAGCTAACGTTAATTCTGTGGTTCCATCACACATTTAAAAAAACACACAGTTTGACTTTTTGGGGAAATACACTTTCACTCTTGGAGAGTAGACAGAAGATCGATAAACATGAAGCTACTGTTAGCAGGTGGTTAGCATAGCTTAGCACAAAGGCTGGAAACAAGCTTGAGCCTGTGGGCCTCCCCTCAGACAAACCTTGTCTCAACACCTCTAAGTTTATTGGCCGAGTTTTGCTCAACTCCTGGATGCCTGATTATGTTATCTGATCCCACAGACCCCAAACGATGGCACCAAAATAACTTAATATTTCAGTTTGAAGTAACTTCAAGGTGGGAAAAACAGTCAAATTCTGTAAAAGCAGATCTTTGAACTCTGGGACGGGTTGCACCAACTGGTCTTCACTAAGCCTGATCCTAACTGCTCAGTCTTTGTCTTAACCACAAAGGCATTTATTAGTTTCTGGGAGAGTATAAAAAACCAGTAAAATCCAATAAAAAGGAGGTTTAAGAGTCGGAGGCTCGCAGAGAAATAAGACCGTTAATGATCGTTCAGACTCCGGCGGCGGAAAAACTAGAACGACCTTCTGATCGAGGCAAAGAAAGAGATTAAGGCTCTTAGTGAGAAGAAGGTTTAAGCTCTGTTGGTGCAACCTGCCACTCGTCTAAAGCTCACTAATTAATATGTTATATCTCTGTTGTTCATTAGTGAGTCTTAGAGTTGCTGGTAGGTGGTTTTTAAATCTTTAGAGAGAGCCAAGCTAGCAGTCTGTTGCTCCCTGTAGCTTCATATCGATCTTCTTGTCTTGGAAAACAACAAATGAGTATCAAAGTATTTCTTAAAGGAAAAACAACATTATGGGATGCATTCACTGCTGCTGGAAGAGCAACCTGATAATGATAATGTCTGAAACATTTTATCTTCGGACCAAGTGTTAAAACTTCCTGTAAACATCCGATACATGATGTTTGTAGGATTCTTTATATACGCTACAGTTAGTCTTCAGCTATGAGGAATCAGTTGTCTGCATTATTTACATTAAACTGAACTTTTCTTTCTTTATTTTGCAGACACATTTTTGCAATTTTCTAAATAAGCGCAGGAACCTTTAGCTCGCTCCCGATGCAGAAAGTATAAACAGAATATAAAAGAGTACAATAAAATAAAAACACAAAATATAATATGAACACAAACAAGTATCAAAATGGGATGTATGCATCACTGGAATGGAATAACAACATTTAATATTAAAAGAACTACAAAGAGCAACCCCAAAAAAAGGTTTTATAAATACAAAGGTTCTCCGTCAGTGTCCTGTAAAAAGCCTCTCATGTCATATCTGAATATATTTTCCACTGGAATAAAAATGCCTCGTACATTATTCATCTGTTTCTAACAGTGTTTCTATCCAGGTGAAAGACAACAGATACTACTGGAAGTTGACTCACTCAAACTATTCAGTGCAACTTTACTTCAGAAACTAAGGCAACCAGTGCCCTCTATAATTATTATTATTATTATTATTATTACTACTACAGTGTATCCGATTAAGCATTAAGATGACTTAAACAATCAGCAGTGGGAACGACTGCATGAGGTTTGCTCCAGGACACTGAACCATGCTCCAGAGGGGGAGGGGGTCAAAGGTCATCACGTGGTTGGGCTGTGGTGGTGGCGGTGGTGGCGGTGGGGGGAGGGAGGGAGGAACGTGTTGACATGGACCTCAGGAGGTCTCGTTGACCGTTCGCTCCAGCTCTATCACTTTACTACTGCTCTCATTCGCCCTCTGCTCCAGAGACCTGAGACACAGAGAGCAGAGGTCAGAGGTCAGACAACAGGAAACTAAACGACACAACCAGCTTCATTAACGGTCGGCAACGGACAGGTTAAAGGTTATTGGTTTGTTTTTAGGGATTCTGTCTGTCACACTCAGGCTGCTCCTCCAGGCACCGGAAGTTACTTTATTTTGGGCAATTTTCAAACTGTTGGACAGACAGAGGACGAGCTGCTGCTAACATTAGCTCAGCTTGTTTCTCTAGAGTTAAAAAGCACCAAGATCTAAACAGTGGATGGTAACAATGTGGCTTCACACTGGATCAACAGTCAATGTATGACAGCTTCTGACAGACAACCACAACGCTGACGCAGGCACAAAGGGGATATGACGCCATCGACAGGCGACCGGTGAAACGCAGCGTTACCTGAATAAAATGACAGATTTCTGTGAGTTTGAACATTGTTGGAAACATTTGGGATAATGGAAGAACTCAACTACATATAGAACATAGAGCCAGACATTATACACTGTTTAATCAACCGACAGTGTAACAGACAGTCACTGGAGGAAGAGAAGCTCATCATCACCCTGTGTGTTTACCTGTGCAGGTCAAGCAGCAGGTTTTTTGATGTCTGTGTTTCATTGCTTTTATTCCTGAAAGGTGGGTGTGTCTCCACCCTGTTGGGCTCCACCAGCAGTTTCTGTTGCTCTGAGCGACGCCACGCCGCCATAACGATGGCCGCCGTGTCCTCCAACTGCTCGGGATACTCTCCGCCCAGACCGAGGAGGTGCGGCTGCTCGTCATCGAAGGTCGATAAGAGATTCCTCGACTTGACTACGAGAGAGGATCAGATTTAAAGTAGTTTTTATTTTCAATCTCAAAGAATAATAAAGTTTTTCAACCTTTGCAGACACACTGTCCCACTCACTCTTCATCACTCTTCATCACACTGTAGCACCACATGTTATTGCCTGTTTGTGTGTGTGTGGGCAGGATGGGACAGGAAAATTTGATTGTTAAGAAAATTATATCTGGCTGCTATTACAGAGGTGGTGTGTGTGTGTGTGTGTGTGTGTGTGTGTGTGTGTGTGTGTGTGTGTGTGTGTGTGTGTGTGTGTGTGTGTGGGAGGTAGCAGGGAGGATGTAGTGAAAGGTCAACTCTTCTAATCAGTCTCTGTAGCTGTTACTGCGGCGCTGTAGGTGGAATCTGATTATTGGAGATGTTATAATGGACCTCCACAGTTTCATAGCCAGGAACTAATGATTCATTACAATGGGAACTGCAGCAGAGGGTCAGCGTACAGTCTGCGTGTTGAAGCTACCTGTGGTTGTGTACGACTCTTTGACAGCCAGCTGTTTGGAAGCGAGGCCGGTTTCGGTGACGGTGGAGCACGGGGTCAAACTGCTGGGGTAGAAATTCCCCAAAAACAGAGCGAAGCACAACACGACCACCTACAGAGAGAGAGAGATCAATGGAAAACAGGAATCAGTTACAGTTACAGTTACAGTTACAGTTACTGCAGCTCACACAGACTTTAAGTTTATTATTCATATTTGTTTGACTGTATCAGCAGTATTTATATTATATACTTTACTTTCTGCTTTGGCAACATGTTTGTTTAAAACATCACAACAATAAAGTCAATTAAACTGACAAATACACACACACACACACACACACACACACACACACACACACACACAGTAAATAAATTATGAATCAATGCTAAGCTGCTAATGAATGATGGAAGCAGATGTTTCCAATTCAATATTTTAATCAATATTTCATCCTCACAATCTCCTGTCTGCACACACACACACACACACACACACACACACACACACACACACACACACAACACACAACACACACACACACACACACACACACACACACAGACACACACACACACACACACACACACACACACTGTGGTACCATTAGACATGAGGATGTCTGGGTGCCAGCCACCCTGCAGGACTTGGGGACTTTTCCTGCCACCACCGCCTGCAGAGACTGCAGCTGCTGTAACAGAGACCTGGGGAGGAACACACACACACACAGGTTACAAACACAAACACACACACATATCACATAACATACACAGGGCTGGAAACACACACATTAAATAACACACACACAGCTGATAGCTGATGAATCTACAGATGCAATAAAACCAAAGACACTAAATCATTATTTTGAGGTGATTAAAGGTTATTAAAATGTGATTAATGAGATGTAAAAATAATAAAATGACTAATCATTTGTACAAAGAATTGTTGAGGAAGAATAAAACAGTATGTATACATACACTATACAAAGTAATATGTAAACAACATGAATAAAAGAATATAAATATTGTTGTTTGTTCAGAACTACTCAGATATTCAATTCAGGTTTTGTTCTGCTGTAACACACACACACACACACACACACACACACACACACACACACACACACACACACTATTTTACATTAAAATAACCTCATTATTATACATGAGTGCAAAGCTTCCTCTGAGCCGACCGACAGTCCAGAGTTAAAATCATTAAACTTGTCCCTGTTGTTAAATTAGATCGTAGATATTAAAATGATTCTTATATTCAGCTGATTAAACATTAATGAAAACATACCTGTGAATATTATATTATATATCTGACAATAGATCCTCCTCAATGTTCCCACACTCAAGGATCCACACAACCCACACAGACTCCTGATCTGAGAGGATTTAGTTTGAATCCTCTGAGTAATAGTTTTAGTTTTAAGTTTCAAGATTATAAAGTCTCCAAATGAGATAAAAGTTAAAATATTCTGTTCTTCCTCTGGCTGCCGACCCACTCAAGGACCCCAGTTAGAAAACCTCTGCATTAAATCATCCTGAGTCATCAATTACTTATGTGTTACTTCAATATATTCTTTTTACCCTGATTATATAAAGTATTACTAATAGTTCTGTCACTTTACTGCAAGAAAACAAGATGAATAATCGTTTCCTGCATTATTATTACTGACAGCTAGAAGTTCTACAGATATCAAACAATGGCTCTGAGATACATCTGGACCTTTACAGTAAACACTCACTATATATATAGAGATATACATATATATGTAATATATGTGTATGATGTGCGGAGGTGTTGTCTCTTACTTGTTGGTGCACTCCAGAGTTTCCACCTTCCTGCGCAGCTCGTTGTTTTCGTTGGAGCAGTTCTCCACCCTGTGGTCAGACAGAGTACTGCAGGGTCAGGGACTGAACAGCTCACACACTCACACAGCTTTTCTATTTTTCTATATATTCTGTTCTAGTTTAACACAAAATATCATCAGGAGCACAAACTTTTAGGTTTCTCTGTTATGTGGACGGATATTACAGATACAGACGCAGTCGAGTTCAAATAAATCTAAAAAATCAGCTGGAACTGCAGTCACACACTCTTTCCAGGAATTAAAACTATTTTTGAGAAAAGGCTAATAATAGTTCAGTAATCTTGCTCAGAAGTTGATTTAAAGCTCCTCTCCAGTCAGATATCAGTGTTTCCTCTGGTTCCCACAGTCTGTCTGTTTTCACATCTATCTGCTGAAAGTGGAAACTCACTCTCCGCTCACTGACTGCGTTTACATGCACAATATATTTGCCTTTTATTCCTACTGAGCTGTTTACACGACCAATGGAAATGAATATTCCTGAGCACACTGGAACAGCCGGAGCAGTTTGATGCTTTAATCAAAGACAAACCAGTAAAGGAGCAGAACACAAACCCAGCAGAGACTCAGTCAGTTTACCTCCCAGACTCTCTGCTGGGAAGAGGAGGAGGAGGAGGAGGACTTACTTTTTCTCCAGAGTGTCCATGTACTCTTTCTTCTTCCTGCGACTCTCCTGAGCAGAAATCTACAACAGAGAGAGAGAGAGAGAGAGAGAGAGAGAGAGAGAGAGAAACTAATGTTTGCTTTATTCTGCGTATTTATCCAACAGCATTTCTTTTTCTTTTACGAGCTGTGTGTGAACTGATATATTAAAGATCATTATGTGTCACATAAACAACATTACTGAAGGAAAGCTGAGAGTTCTCGAAAACCTGAGGAGGGAATGTGATTATTAATGATTATTTACTTTTTAACTGCCTTTTTTCAATTATTTGTAATAATATGCAATTTAAAAACTCCAATAAAACACAGAATAAAGTTCTCTTAATGAGCGGCGGCACGAAGTCCAGGTTGATATTCATCCATTCAAACATTTCTATCTACAATCTGTTTTCAGGGAGAGGATCATCTCTACCTTGTTTTTGATCTTCCTGCGGATCTTCTTCAGCGCCTTCTCCTCGGCTTTGGTGAGCGGCAGTTTGGTGGGAACCGGGTAACCTTCGGCCACCAGCGTACGGCGCTCCTCCTCAGTCAGCATCAGCGGGCCCGAGCCCTGCAGCTTCTGCACGCACACAAACAGACAAAAACGATCGTTAGGATGTACAAAATGTTTGCTGGAAAACAGTCTATGATCCGCAGTTCTCTGCTGAACTCACGTCTCTGCAGGCAGAATAAGAAACTGTTTCATCGCCAACATTTACCCTAATGTTAGAGCACTATTTACCCCCCCAACCCGACATGCTGGCATAATGTGATTGGTACCAGTGGCTGGTAGTGGCCCCCCAGGCCTCCCCTCTGGAAACGGCCCTGCTCTACACTAAAGTTCTACTAACTTCTATTAATCAAACACACATTTTAAGGGCAGTATTTCTCATTATAAGGCAGACTGCTGCACTGGGATCCAGATCAATACATTTTATTCCTAAAATAAACTGTGATGAAGAAGCAACCATATGAACGCCGGCGGTTTATCTCTTACGTGAGGCGCGGTGAGCAGCGGGGAGTTGGAGAGGCAGGACGCAGCTCGAGGAGACACCTTCAGGCCGGCCTGCGATGGAGGAGGGCTGGTGGGGGAGGTGGGGCAGGACAGGCCGGGCGGGGCGTGGACGGGGCTCTGGCTGCCCTCTGAGTCGCTGCCGTGGGAACTGGGAGGAGTGGGAGGCATCTGCAGGGACTCCAGACCTGAAACACCACAGTGGACCGATTAGCATCCAGCCGGTCCTCTCAATAGGAGGAAATATTTTATCATACAGACTTAATCTGAGAATGACACAGGACAATGAGTGTGCATTTATTATCAACTCTTTCCCCTTTCTGAGACATTTAAAGAAACGGCCTGCAGGGGTCATCGTAGCATCAGATAACTGACAGCAGGACGAAGAGGAAGAGGAAGAGGAAGAGAGGGAACACATTCAGACCTTTGGGAGAAAGATTGAGAAACTGGTCGACTTCATGAGGTTCCAGTTTAATCTGGGGGATGATATTCTCCTCCTTTATCTGTCCAACAGAGAGAGCGACAGGCAGAGTTAGAAACTGTAAAAGCTCCGCTAACATCTGTTTCCACCATCAGTCCTCGAGCTCTCACCTTGATGCCTTTGCCCTGGTTGTTGACTGCAGGCTGAGCTGGGCTGGCGGCAGCAACGGGGGCCACAGTGGGGCCCTCGGGCGCTTGGGGCCCTGAGCCCAGAGAGAGGGAGAGGGTTGGGAGGAGGGAGGGAGTGTCACACAGGAGGCTGTCGATGGCGTCGTCCTGCTCCATCGGCCACTCAGCTGAATCTCCGTCAGACTCGGCTGCAGAGGAGCAAACAGACTCCTGTCAGGGTTCAATACATTAACCTACGGAAGCCCATTGCTGCCAAATCTGACTGAAATAAAAGATTATTTAAGACATGATATCGAGGAACTTTCTCAATATTTTGACTTATTATCTCAAAGTAATGACTCAATATTTTAATAAAGTTTCTAATTTCTACATTTCATCTCATTTCTTATTAAACAAACGGTTCTTCCACTTTTATTGTACATTGTTTGTCATACATCGTTAAATAGGGATGTCATCATTTTATCTGGACTTTAACGTGTCCCATTATTCCTCAGAAATCAGCTGATTTAAAGACATTCGCCAACATAACACTTCTTTTTAATTCATTCTTTATCCTTCAGGAATCAGATTGTGTTTTATCTTGACAGTGAAACCGTGTCTCACCTGCTTCGCTGCCTTGCTCTCCGGTCAGGTGCGACAGGGGCGACTGCGGCCGGCTGTCCCCGCAGAGCGAGTAGCTGTGCTCGGCCGTGATGTGCGGGGGAAGCGGGGAAGACGGGGACAGGTCGCCCCCGTCCTCCCCCTCCATGGCTTCCACGCTGCCTCTCCCTCCGGACAGGAAGGGGTCGCTGAGCAGCTGGCCCAGCAAAGCATCCTGGGAGAGGTCGTCCAGGAGCTCGGAGAAGTGCTGCACAGAGGAGAATAAATGTCTTTATGAAGTGAAGCCGTCAGAGGGGAGGGGGCCTGTAATTAGAGGCTGCTAAATCTTTTATTGCCACCTTTCCTTGAAGTTTCCCTCTGCTCTCCCCCCGGGGGGGACTTTAAATTAAAACTTAGACAAACCAACAATCTCACCCCCCCAATCACCATCTCTCTCTCACTGTGGTGACACATTTACAAAACAGAAGTTAACAGACAAGCCCCACCTTCTACTCTTAATCTCCTCTTTCATCCCCCCCACTCCGTCGTCCTCCTTTACCACATTCCTGCATTCTTCTTTCCCTCCCTCTATCTTTCTTACCATCTCTCAACAAGGTGAGTGCACAGCTCTCCCTCCATGTTCAGGTGCTGATAACACCCCGAGCTGCACAAACATCTTCTAACACAGAGCCGGTAAAGGCCAAATACAGCTGCAAATCATCACCAGATAAATTCATATTTTCACTGCAGATTCGTCTGCAGACTCGCTTCTCGTTTGGTCGACAAAATGTTCGGAAAAATAGAAAATCTTCAACATAATTTGCCTTCAAATGTCTTGTTGTCGACCAACCGTCCAAAACAGTCTAAAATATTCAGTTTACAGTAAAACAGAGACACAGTGTGAGTCCCAGTGCAGCTGACCTTCCTAACACCCTACATGCTCTACATGCTATCTACATGCTATTTTATATCTATTATCTGTTGGGAGTATCAGTAAATAAAGTTTGGGGAGTAAAAATCTAATTCCAAGGACACACGTTAGATGGTAAAAAATAAAAGTCTTTTATAAATATATATATCATATACCTAGTCTGAAATCTTCTGATAGTAGATTGTTTTGTCATTGATGAACCTCCGTACCCTAATACGTATGAACTACAATGAAACACTTCCAGTCAGTCCACAGTCATACGGTCACATAAAGTCTTATAAAGAGTTTAAACAAGTGTAACAAGTATAAAAAATGTTAGAATATCTTATTTGTTTGTATCGTACAGCAACGGTGCAAATGTGTGACACATAAAAACTACACAATGCTTCACTCGAACTCGTCGACCCTGGAGAAAATATTTCTGATGTAACTTCAACTGCTCAAATTCAACAGTTGCCGGGCAGAACGCGTCCAGCCGGGGCTCGGCCAGTGAGGAGGGGATAAAAGTTTTAAATCAAACACACATGGAAGCATTTCCTCCGAGGAAGAAGAAGACAGAATCTAATCTAACGTCTACTTTTCAAATTCTGTTCAGTTCGGTGACAGGAGGCGACGAACGGACGAACGGACGGATAAAGTGAGGGTGAAATCAACATGGAGGACGGCTTAACGGCAAGCATGTGGCTTCAATTAAAGGCTGAGAGAGAGAGAGAGAGAGACAGACAGACAGACAGAGAGAGAGAGAGAGACAGACAGACGGAGAAGACAGACAGACAGAGAGAGAGAGACAGAGAGAGACAGACAGAGACAGACAGACAGACAGACAGAGAGAGAGAGAGAGAGAGAGAGAGAGAGAGAGAGACAGACAAACAGAGAGAGAGAGACAGACAGACAGAGAGAGACAGACAGACAGACAGAGAGAGAGAGAGAGAGACAGACAGACAGAGAGAGACAGACAGACAGACAGACAGACAGACAGACAGACAGAGAGAGAGAGAGAGAGAGAGAGAGAGAGAAGACTTCTAACATTTTCCTCTTCCTCACTCATGACCTCTTCACTCCATAAACACACAGCACTCTCCTGCCGCCGTATGCTGCCCTAAATGGCCCGGTTACAGGCCCCTGTGTGTGTGTGTGTGTGTGTGTGTGTGTGTGTGTGTGTGTGTCTGTGTGTCTGTGTGTGTGTGTGTGTGTGTGTGTGTGTGTTTTTTGTGTGTGTGTGTGTGTGTGTGTGTGTGTGTGTGTGTGTGTGTGTGTGTGTGTGTGTGTGTGTGTGTGTGTGGCAAACATCGACAGCATACCGTGAATCTATTCAAGAGGGTGGGAAGCCAAATATTTACACATTTATCCACCAGTGGGTCCATTTCCTTCTCTTCAGCGTGTGTGTGTGTGTGTGTGTGTGTGTGTGTATATGGAGGCCTGCACGCGCCAAAACACATCACATTATAAGGGGCAAATATTTCAAAGTAGTTCACAGCGCCATATATACCCCAACCCGGGGTTGTCTCCATGGTTACAGAGAGAACATCTTATATGGTATTGCAGCTCTTCGGATCTTAAAGCACGCACACGCTGACAGTTCTGGGTTACGCTGCTGCCAGCTGCCTGCAAGCTTATTAAATAAGCACTTAATGGAAAGTTGATAGAAGATACAGCGCTAAGAAACAGAAGATAAAACTAACAGGTCAAAAGCAAAAAGCATGTTTCACTTTTAATGTTATGACGAGAACTAACTGATTATTAATATATGTGATCAGCGTTTCTGGATTTTATCTTCAGGATATTTTGTACAATTCTGGCAAATTATCAGACATAAGACGAAGTAAGAAAATGAGATTGAGTTTAGCTTTGAGATCAAAAAGAGGAGAGAAAACCATGATGGTAAAAAGAAAAAGAGGGTGTAGTTTTTAAGGAAGAGTAATTACACACAAAACCCATATTTAAACTAAAACTAACCCATATTTTGTGGGTTCAAACCCGGTTTATATGATTTCATATACATCAGACGTTTCTGTCTATGGCTCAGAACTGCTGCTCTCTGCGGTGCAACAACAAAAGCTCTAAATAATCTCGAATTTGAACACAAATAAACAACTAATCCGCCCCAACATGAGGAATAAAGCCTCATCTTGTTTCAGTAAAGGAAATGGGAGAGGTCCAACTCCGCCTGCATGAAAACAGAACCACACCAAAGCCACACAGAGAGGATTTATACGCTCCCTGTCATCATTCCTGCAGTGGGAGTCTGTGGCTGCGGTCGTGTGAAAAGGCAAAAATGCGATGCGGGGCAGAAGGCTGGGCTGGAGGATCGGTCACTGGCCCGGGTGTAACTCCTCGCACACAACAGAAACCTCTTTGTCCTTGCAGCCCAACAGAGAGGTGCTATTTAACTGTAACTTGACTCTCCAGCTGGAAAGGAGAACCCGAGGAGCTGAAGCCTAAATGGGAAAACTGGAAGTTTAAAGCTGGAACTGGGGCACGAATCAGGAGCAGTGGCGACAACAAAGAGGCTATTCTCATATTTTTCTGAATAACGTTTCGCCTGTGACACAAATCCAAAAGGAGCACATCGCTGAAAGTGCAGATTGTAATCTTTTAATGAAGCCACAATGAAGTGTGTAGAGGGAGCGATTATCTCTCGAGCTCCGGTGAAACATCGACGCCGACGCTTTCAGAAGCTCAGCTGTAATTTCTGATCGTAATCAAACCAAAAGACTTCAAACTGGGTCAGAAAAAAAGCTGAAAAAGGAGCTGAGTGTGTGACGAAATATAGTTTGAGCTGAGAAAACAAGAGCCTACGTGCCAGGATAGCATAACCTGCAGTTCCTCTAACGCCCACTAGAGGCTGGCTCCATAAGGAGCCATATTAAAACATAAACATGTTTACAGCCTTTTGGTCTCTAGAGATAATTCCCCCGTTCATGGGGACGGTACAACCAGTTTGAATTATATTAAGGCTTTAAATGTAGAGTAGACACACAGTACTTTGAGCTAACATTAGCATGCTAATATTCCCTCAATGACAACGTAAAAATAAAGTTTACCAACACTTCTACATTGATTTTTGAACATTAATTCAACGTCTTTGTTGTGAAAACGTCCATAATTATACAAGATATCTGTCAGTTACTGTTAATTGTCACAAATTTTACATAATAGAAATGTATTAACTGTATTAAACTTGAATTTAAAAGTTTAATCTATTAAATAAACAGTAAATATCGGTGAAATAATTAAATGTTTGAATATGTATATACACAGCTGTTTTCCTCCCTAGCACATTAGTCAGATCCTTCTGTGGGAGATGGAAAAAACGCACCAATTGTTTCCTAAAAAAACTAGTTACCAGGTGGAGTAGCGAGCGCTGCGGCAGTTACAGCCTGGACATCTGCGGAGGTCACCAGCAGCTAAATTAGTGGGAGTGGAAACGGGCAGAAGGAATGTCCTCTCGGGTCTGTAATTCTCCTGTAAAATAGGGATGTCTGTTTTAACCTTTAATGACCAGACGTTTGAGCCTCGGAGGAAGGAGGAGAGGAAAGTCTGATGATGTAACACCTTCCTCCCCTGAAGAGCTAAACCAGATGTCAAAGCGTGCAGCGGAAAGAAGGACTGAAGACACCCACACAGGCCCAAGGGTCACCCCCCTCCAGTGTGTGTGTACCTTGCCCTGGACTCATCTGTGTGCTGATGATACAGCTTCACGTTACACAGCACGCTAATAAAACAGACAGCACGCACTCTAAAATGAATTTAAGTGGAGATAAAGGGAATGACTCATTAGTTTGATTTGGATCCAGGTTGTGGACTCGCTGGATCATCAGCTGGTTATCTGGTTACGATTGGACACGTGTTGGTAATTTGTGATAAAGTTTGAAGAGATATCGGATCATTTATCGGTCTGTGGTTACACACACTGTACTGTAACAACGCTTTATCAGTCACAGAGTCAAATAAACCTCCATAAATCTGCTGCTGATATCTACAGAACTTGCTTTAGAAACATCACATTTTTAAGTTTGCTTCCATATGGAAGTCATCCAGTGATGGTTGTCAGTACATCGATGGGCACACTGCAAACAGGAGCTGCTAACAGCTAATACGGCGTACGTTTAATGGTGCCAGTCTGCCAAAATGTAAAGAAATAACTAACAAACTAATGTGAAACCCCCCGATTTATGTCAATAAGTCATTAATAGAGGCTCAGGAGTGAGTCTGAATCTTTAATTATAGATGTAATAAACTCATAATAAAGGTTTCTTTCAATAATTCAGGTCTGCAGTTTAAAATTTTAATGAGTTGTTAATAAGTGAACTCAGGATCAGAAACCCTGCAGCTCT